TTTTTTTTTTTTTTTTTTTTTTTTTTTTTTTTTTTTTTTTTTGTTATTCTCAATTCATTTGACATGCAAGATTTACTTTGCCATTCTTAACCAATTGTTTTGAATACTTGTATCTGAACATTTGCTTGATAGTATATCGGTTCGGTGTTGTATGACTCACTTTTAATTTTGGTATGAATATTGTGAGGAAGAAACATCACTACTAGGCAGAAATAGGATTATGATTGAAGAGTGTAGAAATAAAACATAGGAATGCTGGTAAAAGAAGGATGATGATGATGTAAGTAGCAAGGGGCTAGTGGCCATTACCATTGGAGTTACTGATTGAGATCAGTTTTTGTGGGATTTGGTATATAGATGGTAGAGATCAACTGTATATCTTAATTTGTCGATTACTAGATATGTTTGGTTTTGAATCCTCAAAATATGCAGGCGAATTTGATGACCTCTTGGATGGCAGTGCTCCTAATGTTCTCTCCAACATCTCAGAAGAGATACATCTCATGTACTCCCATGTGGACAGTTCACCTCTATTAGAATCAAATGGATCCATGACCCTAGACAAACGTGGAAAATTATTGGAGATTGAGAATTTGACTTTAGGGGCACCAAATGGCTCTACTTTGGTCAGAGACTTGGAACTAATAGTTCGAGAAAAGGAGCATTTGCTGGTGTGTGAAACTATTTCATTTATATATTGAAGATCTATCACGTTACATCGTATTACCATAAACCTGTGGTTGACTAGAAATTCATGAGCATGGAACTACTTTTACAGGTAATGGGACCTAGCGGGTGTGGCAAGACTTCTTTGTTAAGAGTTTTGGCAGGTCTTTGGAATGTTGGAAAAGGAAAAATCACATTTTATATAAATGACTATCCCGAGCAGATAGTTTCTCAAAATGGAGGGCCCACGGAAGCGCATACAGGAGAAGATATATCCCACGAAAACAGTAGACCACTCAACAAAAATTATCAAGGGATATTTTTCCTTCCACAAAGACCATACATGGTTTTGGGTACACTACGTCAGCAACTGCTTTATCCTACATGGGCTGAAGGTGCAGTTACATCAGGTTATGTCGAATCAAATGGTAAGTGTGCCGATTGATGATTATTTTGAATATCATCAGTCTCACAGACTCATATCTGGATTACATTCTTGTGGAGATATTTTTTAAAACTAACAATATGTGAAAGCATGTTTGTTGTTCTTTTATTTAGTTAGTTATTTTTCTCAATTAAGTGGTATTATTAGTGTGTAATGTCTAGCCATACCTGCCACGGTTGTTTATGTGATGATATTTCTAGAAAGTTAAAATGTACTCATTATGTTGCTTTGTGAAGTTCTAAAAAGGGAAACGTTATTCTTGTTATTCAATCCAGAACGTAACTAGCTGTATCTGCTAAGAAAGCTGCCCGTGTCACTAAAAGAATGGTTTGCTTGGACTGACTACTATGTGTAATTCAACTAGCGTTCTTTTTTTTTTTTCTGTTTGCAAGTCATGTAAACACGCTTTTCTATCATATAGCGTCGATTGATTTAGTTTAAGAGTAAATGAATTCATGAGGTCTACCAAGTCAGACTGACTGTTTTTGTCTCGCAGTATTCCCTTCCTTTTTGACGGGTGCATCAAATATCAACAATGTTAGCGAAAATCCTGACAAGCCAACAACAGATGACCTAGTCCAGGTTCTGGACAAAGTCGGTCTTGGCTACTTATTGACTCGTTTCAGTAGCCTGGACATAACTTGCGAATGGTCCAGTGTTCTTTCTCTCGGTGAGCAGCAACGTATTGCATTTGCACGTCTATTGCTTTCAAGACCAAAGTTAGTCCTGCTGGATGAGTCTACAAGTGCTTTGGATGAAGCAAATGAGGTACTACTGAAAACATTCAGCTAGAGTTTAATCATGATGTATGTGTTATAGCTGACATCTATTTTCTTTCATTTGTTATGTGTTCTAGTACAAGTACTCATTTGAAACATGCGCCCTTCTGTTTTAGATAGACATAGACCTTGTGCTTGCATCTAAAAAGTGTTTCATAGAAGGGGAAACAGTACTGTGACAGATTGAATAATAAATTGTTTAGAGGAAATACATTCGAGCTTACTTTGACAACCAAATGTAGTAGAGTGAAACGGTCGTCGTATCAGATATAAATTTCTTTTTAATAAAAGTAATATGCCAAATAAACTACGGTTTTTCTTATTCATGTCTTGAAAGTTTGTTTGGAGAGATGCAAATGACATGTATGACCTTCATTGCAAGTTTTATGCAGCCTCGTATGTACCACATTGTTGAGATTCATTGTCATAACCTAACTAGGGCTGTCCAGCCAGCGTATCCTCTCTGTCTCTTTATATCTACTATTAACTCATAGTTTTCCATTCTTTAAATATCAGTCTTACCATCTTTACTGAATATTTTCTTCGTTCCATAACTTGATTTGCATGCTTTGTTATTGTGCATTCGTCCAATAACTCCTGTCTTGCATATTGCTCGTATCTATTTTCATGTAACACTTTGTTTATTCAACTCGTGTCGGTGAATTGTTCTTAACTTTTGTTCGCAAGGAATGTTTTGTAGTAAAACTTTTCTCTTGTTTCTGCTTCTTCAGGCGCGTTTATACAAGCAAATTGCTGATGCTGGAATAACATACATCAGCATTGGCCATCGAAGTACTTTACGCCATCACCATAACAGTATTTTGCATATATCCAAGTTGTCCAGTAGCGAGCAACCCAATTGGAACATTGAACCCATTATTCGTGATGATTTGTACGAATTATCAAAGCAGTAATATGATGCCTATAATTTTGTACTTCTAATCCTCAAATTTCTATTTTTATTAGTTTTTTGCAGAGGAGAACCAATGAAGGATCTTAAATGTGGGGTCGCCTAAAAGGACAGGGTCAAACAATATCAGAAAGCTTCCAGAGTGATGTCAGGTGAGGTTTCAACAATTTCGTTATTACTTCTTTCATTAGAGAGTGAATTTGACAATTGGATATATGATTTATTCAGCCTCACCTTAATCAGCCTACCCCAAAGAAATATTGGCCTTTTAGATTAGCCTATTAGATAATCATGGTTATATTTTCATTTCTAAATTAAATGTTCAATAATTTTAATTCATTTTTTAAAAAAAAAAATTAAAAACTCTTCGTTGTTTGGTAAGAAATAATCATGGTTAGCGATGTCAGGTTAGATTAGTCCAAAGAAATAATCATGGTTATTGTTGCTTTATCAAATTTTTGTTAGTTTAAAGAATTAATGGTTATTGTTGCTCTATCAAATGTTAGTTAGTAATGGTTATTGTTGCTCTATCAAATGTTAGTTAGTTTAAGGAATTAAGGACTTGTTTGGTAGGAAATTTTGATTTTGTTTTTAATTTCATATTTGTTTTTAGATTTTGTGATTCAAATAGTAAAAAAATATAAGACCATGTTTTGAGGGTATACTTAAATTTTTAAAAAATTAATGTAAAAAAATATTTTCTTTAATAAATACAATATTTTATGTTATAAATTTAATTTACTTTTATGAACTTAAAACATGTATAATATAATATATCATATAAATAAATTATATGTAATTGTAAAATAATAATTATACAAAATCTATAGCATAAAACATGTTCTTAAGTTGATAAATAATAGTTGACATTCAATTTAATATTTAGTTTACAGCTACTTGTATTAATATATTATTAAATTGCATTTTGGAACAATGGATTGAATTAAAATCTAATTTCTAAATCTACGACCAAAGTATACCTCTCTCTCTCTCTCTCTATATATATATGATTTTCAATAAATAAATTAAAGATCTCTCTCTCTCTCTCTCTCTCTCTCTCGCTCTATATATATATATGATTTTCATTCAATAAATTAAAGATCAGAGTAATTATTCATAAAAATGTGAAGGTAGAAAATCCCAAAGTTAAATAGTAATAATAATAAAATCCCCGAACCTGTCTCAAGCAGAAATTGATTGCTTCATTCAGGGTGAGTCGCCACGTCGGGAGAATTTTGTCATCTCCATAAAAGGAAAGGTAGCTTAGGGAGGAAATTAGGAAAGCAAAGTTGGCGTCTATTATTACATAATAGGTGGTCCAGACACTGATTATTGTACCAGAAACATTGAGCACAACCAAACAACATGAGAGTGCGTGCACATACCAGGCTATATTTACAAGAGCTGAACCGTTCTGGTTTTTCCAAACATCATACCAGCAGCAAGCAAGCAAGCGATGTCAATAACCTCCCTGAATAAAAGCGTTCAGGCGGTTTAGCTCCTCTCGGTGCTCGCTCACCACAGCCCGAACCACGTCTCCGATCGACACCATGCCTTTCATACCCTTGTCATCAATGACGGGTATGTGCCTAATTCGGTTATCTGTCCACCATGCACACAGTTTTCTCCGGGTTATAAAGAAAGTAAGACAAAAATGGAGCAAATCTAGCAATACAATGTATTGTAATACCAGTCATAAGTTGCATGGCTCGCAAAACCTTGGTGTCGGGTGTCACAGTGATAAGTTTGTTCTGCAAACACAAATTAAAGGAATTTGTCATTGCTGTTCGAAGTTCTAATATTTTGTGTGGCTATTATGTAGATGGAGGGTAGATTAAACAAATAATCGAGGCACGTGTGCAAATCAAAGCAACATCAAGTGATTTGTTTATTCATAAAATAAAAATAAAAAAAATAAAAATAAAGTACATCCATATATACCTATGCAAATAAAGGTAGTTGATTTTTCTAGGAAACAAAAACTAAATTATAAAAACGACCCATGAACTTTGTTACTTGTACCCCTATTCTTTCAAATGTTGTGAAACTACCTTCAACTTTTGTAAATGTTTCAAATCTACCATTAGAGTAAAAAATTTGTTAAAACGTTGAATAAAAAATCTAAGTGACTGGGTGTCATTCTTTCAATCTTAAATCTAAATAGGTGAATCCATGGATGGTCATCATAGTGATGAAACTAAATACCCTTAAACTTTGTCCCTAGTTTAAAAAATACTCCTTTCAAAATTTTGCAATATTACCATTAACCTTAATCTTTCATAAATGTTTCAAAACTAACTTTGGAGTAAAAAAATTGATAGAATGTTGAGCAAAAAATCAATGCAACTCAATGTTATTGTTTCAAACTTAATCTAAGCAAACATCCTAATCATGTCAGATCATTTCAGGTCATTTATGAAGAGTTAACGGTAATATTGCAACTCTAGAAAGAACGATTATCTTTAAACAGGAGGTAAAGAAGAAACCAGACTGGTTGACATAAACATAAAAGGTGACAGAACTATACCTCCTCAGTCATGATATCCCCAACTTTGGTAGACTTGGAAGACCTGCCTTGCACTATAATCTTTCTCAGATAATCTACAAACGTTCGAAAAGAAAGCTGAAGTTGAGATATTGCATTCCAAAAGATGAGAAGATGCTTTATGGGACCTAGAGCTTAGAAATAACACCCTATTGTTATAGTACATGGAAAACTAATTGTAGGCAAGGGGGAAAATGACAAATAAATGAAAAATTATTAAATGAAGATGCCACAATGTGGTGACCTTTTAATTACGGTTAGATGTGGATTCAAATCTATAATACCTTGAATAATCACTAGATATAAGCTCAAAATACTTATGCAATTTCTTTCTCATTCATACAATGGCGCAAAACCGATTCTTACGTTGTGGCAGTCTCATCCAAAAATTAAGAGGTAAAGCCAGCTAATCTTAAATTACAGGGTTCTAGTCTACACGGCACAATCTTCAGCAGAAACCATTTTGGGTACTCCAAAACTGCAGAAGTAATGCAAATTTACTCTCCACCTCCAAGAAAACATTAGATAGGTTTCTTGAAAAGACTAGCAACGCGAAAAGAAACTGATCAGCAGTTTGAACTTCCCGAGTTTGAAGTCCAATATTTGGCACAATTAGCCGATTGCAAAATATTGGGAACTTCAAAAATTTACAAAGTAGTCAACCTAGGCATAACTCAACTAGTTAAGACATATTCTTCGACAAAAATGTTAAAGGTTCAAATTCTCAACCACACCACACATATTGGCATTCAAAAAAGAAAAGTGGTTATCAAGGGTACATGCATTTGTTATTTTCCCCAAACTACAGTGTAAATGAATCTCTTCATTCATAATTGGATAGGACCATAATTTTGTAGTTGAACCCATTTATTCAGAGAAATATCTGCATTTATAAAGCAAATCATATCACGTACCTCTTTCTGTTATAATACCAGCAATTGAATTTTGCTCCGCAGGCTTAACAACCACCAAGGCTCCAACATTGTGCTGAGTCATCTTTTTTATTCAAAAAGGGGGAGTGCGTAAGTAGAAATAGCAGCAGAAGTAAACAATTATAAAGATTATGAGAACTTTCAAACAGTGCAGAGATGCATACCGACTGGACGGCATCGTAAACTGTGTCATCTGTAGTGCACCAAAGCCATGATCCGTCAGCACTTTTGCCTTTTGCTTTCAAGATATCATCAATAGTAGTGCTTTCAAAGCCATGTTCTTCAATGTTTGCAGAATTAGCTGATGTCGTAAAGCATGAAAACATTGCAGGCCTCATCTGGGGGTTTGCTAGACGAATTTGTTGCAGAACAGCAGTTTTCACAACGTTTCCGTGTGATAGAAATGATCGCACAGCACCTTGCATCTTCACCTGTAGAAACAGACGCTTAACATTGTACAATAAACTCTCTAAAGCTTGAAGAGCGTGCCATTTTATCAGAAGACAGCAGTCCAATACAAATCCACCCGTACTCAAGAAAATGATAATTTTAAACTTTCGTTACAAAAATTTTACATGTAGAAATCCACATAGCAAGAAGAAAAAAGAAGAAAAAAAAACATCCTGCAAAAAGCTTGATAATAGAAGCACGATCTATGTCCGCCATTTCTTTCATTGGAAACTGAGATAGCTATTCTATTTTTCCTCTTTTCTCCGAGTTAAATGCCAGATTTAGCAATAAAATTAAATTGGCTCGGCTCATCCGTATTAAAATACTCCATAAATAAGAAGACCTAGTGTGGAAGAATGTGAACGGGAATACAAGATGAAGAAAATCAATTAATTACACACTCAGTGGAGCACTTCTTGAATCCTCCGGCGTCGGTCAAAACCAGCACAGGTCTATTAATTAATGTAATCAATGAAAAAATAGCTCCAATTAAACGTCTGGAATACCAAACATGATCCAGCTCACTAAATCCGAGATCAGTACACGAAACAGACAAAATACAAAATAACGGTAAAAAAAAAAAAAAAAAAAAAAAAAAAAAAAAAAAAAAAAAAAAAAAA